AGGCATTCAAGGAAGTTTGTGCGAAGTTCAGGTATATCATTTCTCTGGGTGAACACCTAGTTTTTCAAATATTAAGCTGGTGAGCTTCTTAATTCCAAATAAAAACCTCATGCAGGCCTGTCATGCATCATTTTTTCTTGGAGAGGTTCTTGCAACCAGCTGACTGGTTTGAGAAGAGACTTTCATACACACGAAGTGTTGCCACTAGTTCAATGGTTTGTGATTTATACTCATGCTGTGGCAATTGGCGTTTGGCCATAAACTGTAATAATTCTGAAAACTGTGCTCCATATTCAGGTTGGTTATATCGTTGGCCTTGGAGATCGACATTCTATGAATATCTTAATTGATCAAACCACTGCAGAAGTTGTTCATATAGATCTTGGCGTTGCCTTTGAACAAGGCTTGATGCTCAAAACACCAGAACGGGTTTGTACTTTGTGATTATTTTTTCCCTGCTAAGCTTGTTTGCCTAGTTTACTGAATTTTGTATGGTTCGATGTTCTTATTATAAAATTAATGTTTACAGGTTCCATTCCGACTTACAAGGGACATCATCGATGGCATGGGTGTGACTGGAGTGGAAGGGGTTTTCAGAAGATGCTGTGAAGAAACTCTTTCTGTTATGAGGACAAATAAAGAAGCACTACTGACCATCGTTGAAGTATGTTACCTGAGTCAACTTCTCTAATTAATAAACGAAACCCGCAACTTCTTGCTTCTCTCGATATCTGATTGGATTTCTATGCAGGTTTTTATCCATGATCCACTTTATAAGTGGGCTTTATCACCTTTGAAAGCTTTGCAGCGTCAGAAGGTAATGAAACTTGGTATACATTTATTCGTTGTTTCACCTGTAGTAGCTGTTCAAACCACCCCATCCCAGTATACGTTTATTCTTACACTGCATACATTTCTTTGTCTTGGTTAGGAAACGGATGACGACTTAAACTTAAGCTTTGAAGGCTCGCAAGATGAATATGAAGGTAACAAGGATGCTGCACGTGCGCTGATGCGTGTAAAACAAAAACTCGATGGATATGAAGAAGGGGAAATGCGAAGCATACATGGACAGGTAGTTCTCGTGCGCTGCAGTTTCATCGATGTACCTATAATATTGAAACAAGCAGCACCAATGAACATCTTATCATTATATCCCGTTTTCATAATATTTAGTTGAAAATACATCTCAGCTTCGGATATCTGTATTAAGAGAAATCTGAGTTTGCAGGTTCAACAACTTATACAAGATGCGATTGATCCCGAGCGTCTATGTCAACTGTTTCCTGGATGGGGAGCATGGTTATGATGAATTCCTTCGTCATCTTAGTCCCGAAAACTTCGAATCATCTCTGTACAGGCGGCTTTTGGAGGTATCAAGTTTTTTGAGCATTTTTTTTCTTTTTGTATATATACCCGAGTCAGCTGTAGCGGGTGTAGGTCCATGTATAGTTCCATGGACTCCGATGTAGGGGCCTACGGCTGCTGGTTGCACCAGGTCAACTAGCCATGTGTCCCCATTTTCTGTGCTCGAAATGTCTCGAAATGTAGGAGAAAAGCTTGGTTGTACCCGTCACACGATGCGAGAGAGAGCTAAAGGGTATGGAAACTTGGAATACATACGAGTTTTTTCTGGAATAGTGCAAAAGCTGCCTATCTAGTGCAAGGCAAGAACAACTTAAGTATGTTTACTTACATAGCATAAGACACATCGTCATGTGTTGTTCCGTTTCAATAAATTAAAAACATAAAAACGTCTTTGTTTCATTATTACAAGACACTGTAACAATATATTCGTGTCATGCAAGTTGTTCTCGTTTCGAAGAAAAAGACTATTTTTGTTTACTTTCTCCTCCAAGTCAAAAGTAACATTCCCCCTTTGGACGTACTAGTGTCTTTGCTTTGCTAGTTCTACCAGAAGCTCAATTATTTGATGTAGTAAATTTCGACGCGTAACATCTTCCAACAGAGGTCAATGGCACAAGGCATGGGGATTGTTTGACTTTTATCTCTTATGGTGCGTTGACCCAAAAAGTCGTCGAAGAAAGTGCCAGCTAGGCGGATTTAGGAGTGTAGTGAGTACCAACGTCTGGTGGTTCAGCTCAAATCCTTGTTCTTCGACCCACAGAGACGAGGACCTTTATGCCCATAGCTTCAGCTTCTGTCTATCTTTCAGTTAGACAACAGAGTCTCATGTTTGGTTAGGGTCTGTTTGGGAGTGATTTACTGAGAGCGTTAGAAACATACTTAAATTGTCTGTTTGGATGAGGAAATTTAAGAATATTAAGAAACTTTTAAAATGAAGGAAATTGAAATGATATAATTATACTATCTAGAATTTATGAATTTTTTTTATTTGGTTAATCTAAAAAAAGAAAAAACAATGAATTTAAATATAGAATTTTTATTTTTAAACTTTTGCTGAGAAATTAAGAAATGATACATATTTACATAATTTTTAAATTGAAATTGGAGGTTTCAAATTCTAAGTTTTTTATTTTTATTTAATTTTTTTATTCCAGGAGGAAATTCTAAATTTTTATGTTTATGAATCCAAATAAGGGAATTGATGTATGTCAATTTATAAATTTTGACTTTTGTCAAAATCTCAAATTTATTTCTCTCATCCAAACATAGTGTAAGTTTTTAAATGAGAGTAAAATCATTGACAAGCAAATGAAATGAGACGCGTGTTTTCTATAAAAGTGATTATTTCAGTGAAACACAGTGATTACTGACTTTAATAAAAAAAAAATTAAAAACCAACAGTCAAAGGAGCTTTAAGGGAGTGATTTTTGACACTGAAAATCCTTAAATGGTCGTTTTATGCTTCTGGAACTGCAACTACTAGTGTTTTTGTACATCATGATCTGGTGAAGTTTATGACATGGAATGAGGATCCTAAAATCGTGTTTGTTCATCTTATATCGTGCGGTCAGAAATCATTTTAAATACTTTTTATTTAAAATTAAATATAAATAGAACCTGACGAAAACTGATCGCACGAGATATGAACGGTCACGATTTGAGAATTCCCAAGATCTTCACAAAGAGGATCTGAAGAGAACCATTCTGGTATGACCTGACCCAAACACCGCAGATATTATAAAAAAACTGTGACTCCCCTCCCCATGTAATCCGAATCCTTACAAATTTCTTGGTTATATTGTATTTCCCTCGAGGAATTGGCATATCTGGCGATTCGCGCAAAGGAGGGGACCCTGCAGAAAGTGGAGGCACCCCTTCACAGTTGAGTTTATCCAAGCTCTCCTGCGGACGTAGTTCCCTTTGTCTGCCATCACACGCATATCACCATACAAACAACATGCAGAAAACTATGAACAACATCAGCCTATGGGATGAATCCAACTTACACCATCAAAACCAAAACAACAAGATCATTCGGACACTTAATCCAAATCTTTTAGCACGCAGAGTCAGTCGCACGTAATCAAAATCTATTCAATTCAACATGTTGCAGGTTTAAACTTTCACTCGTAGTTCGGCCATAAATTAAATTAAAAAATAAATAAATTATTCTTAACATATTTTTTAGGAAACTTTAACGAAAAGATTCCGGTACTGTTTACTTTAACGAAAAATCATATTTTACACTAAAAAGTCAATTATGGTACTATTCACTTTACCCTTTATTTTGTCCTTATCGTTAAAACTTAAAATTTTCAAATCATTTTTATTAGTTTTCCTTATTTTTTATACCACATTCTTATTATCTCTTTTAATAAAAAAATGTCTCACATTTATTGATTGGTCCTACTTTATTATAAAGTTGTCACTAATGTAATATAAGAAAATATGCTAAGAATAGTTTTCATATGCACCAACAAAAAACAAGTGATAAACACTAAGTGGTACCACTACAAGATGGTCTAGTGGTTTGGACGAATTTTAAATTTGTACTCCACACGGCACATTCTGCATTAAATTTTTTGTGATGGCAAATCACACAAGAATGACAAAAAAAAGACTATAATTTTCCAAAAAAATTAACTGCACCGACAAAATCACAAGCTGATTCAATTTTCAATAAAATAAAATAAAAAACAAGTCCAGCGGCACGAAGAATAACAAAAGATACGTGCGCAAAATCATTTCCCAATATTAAATTTAAGATATATGTTTGGATAACCATAACCTCCCATCCAATTCCCTGACCGACCAATCCCCTCAAATTCCCTCATATCCCAATGAAGCCCTTCCCACGCAGAAAGCCCAAGATATTTCCAAGGGCGTTATAGTAATTCCATCAGATCAAAATCCACATGTCACATTTCCGCTTTCGGATAAACCGCCTTAAACAGAAAACAAATCAGCCCGTTCCACCTCGCGGAGCCCCGAGAAATGGTCGCTTATAAAAACGGCTGGCATCCAAAACCAATGGCGGCCGCACCCACCGCCTTTTTTGTGCTATCAGTTTTTCAATTCCTTCTTCTTCTTCTTCTCCTCCATTCCTCCTTCCCCAAGCAATCCAAAACGCAGTTTCCATTTAAATCCCAACCCAGAAAACCAAAATCCAAAGCCACCAAATCCCCCAAATCCTGAGTTCTATGAACCCCTTCTTCCCACCTCTCTCAAATTCTCAGAAACTCCCATTGTTTCTTTCCGGGTTTTTCTTCTAGTTCTTGAATCTCAAAACTTTACACGAAATCTCTGGTAAAATCATCCCAAAACTTCCCAGAAATGTATTCGTTTTGGTACTTTTTGGTTGTTTAGTTTGTTTGTCTTCTTGGCGTTCTGAAAAATCTACCAACTCTTCTTCTTTCATTTCATCTTTTGTTTTGGATCCGATTCTTTTCATCCAACGCTTTCTGGGTCCGATCGGAATCCAATGCTTATCTGATTCGTTATTCTTTTTGCTCAACCCCCACGAAATCCGATTCGTTATTCTTTTTGCTCAACCCCCACGAAAGTCCTATACATGAACACCCTTTAGATTTTAATTAAGATTCTGTTTTGTTTTCTTCAGACTGTAAAAATCACAGTAGGTTTTAATTTAGTTGTTGTGATTTTCTTCTGGGTTTTGATTGCAATGGAGTACAGAAATGATTATCCAAATCTTTCTTCTGGAAATTCATCGGATTATGAACGTAGCGACCAATTCTCCGATTCGGGAAATTCATCGGAAGACGACTCTGCCTCAGAGACCGTCCAGTCGTCGATCTCCGACTCTGAAAGCGTCGCCGATTCGGGTTCTTCGAGTTCCGGTAATCAATCTCGGCCGTTCGGTGATGGGTTGGTCCCACTTTTCGACGGAGACAGAGTTCACGACCTCATCAAGCAGCGGTTCCTTTCGAGTTTGGGATTGCTTGGGGCTCAAGCAAGTGTGGTGGCCGTTCGCAGGAACTCCTACTCGAGCCTTGTGGGCCAAGCAAGGCTGCGTTCCTTTCAAATTTACTTGAAAGCGGTGGAGGAGAAGTGCGGAGGAAATCCCAACGTGAAGTACGCTTGGTACGCGCCTTCTTCGAAAGACGAGATTTCGAATATCATCTGCCATGGTTTCGGCAACTTTGAGCAGCCTCAGAGAGATGGGGTATTCGGCAATGGTGTTTATCTTGCTTCTGATGATTCTCCTATGCAATGGTAGGTCACGTTTTCGACTTCGAATTTGAATTACTACTTCAAAATGCGTATGCATTTTTGCACATTCGTCTACGTTTTCGACATTTGGTTGACAAATTTGATTTGTTCGTTTAGTGTGGAAAGCTTGAACGTTGACGAAGACGGTCTACGACATCTCCTGCTCTGCCGTGTGATACTGGGGAGGCCGGAGATTGTGTGTCCCGGTTCTAAACAGCATCATCCGAGCTCCGAACAGTTCGATTCCGGCATCGACAGCATCTTTGCTCCCAAGAAGTACATAATTTGGAGTACGCACATGAACACTCACATCCTACCGGAGTATGTCATCAGCTTCAGAGCTCCTAATTGCTTGAAAGGTAATGCAATTTCCCCAACCTTTTTGTTTCTGAATAATTGTTCATCTTCTGAGTTCAAACTAATTAACATTTTGTTTCGATGGTGTAGAATTTCTGAAGGTTCAAGAACCAATCAAGAAACCGACTTCGCCGTGGATGCCGTTTCCGGCGCTAATCAGCGTGCTTTCGAAGTTCTTGCCTCCACCTTCCATTGCCATGATCAGCAAGCATTACAAAGATCACAGAGTAAGTATTACTGCTTTCTGCATTGAAGTTTCAAGATTTTGTATCCTTTTTTTCTTGTAATTATTCTCCATTTTTTTAACTTTTTTAATTTTATTTTTCAGGAGAATGTGATTACAAGGCAGCAACTAATACAAAAAGTGAGACAAATTGCTGGGGACAAGTTACTGGCTTCAATTATCAAATCTTTCAGAGCCAAGGTTTGAATTTTTTTTTTTTTTTGTATTTACTTAATTTATTTATTTATTAATACTTGGTTATTGCTTCTAATAACATGCATGACATCTATTTTTTGCAATATTGTATTTATTGGCATAATATATAATTTTGCAATATTGGTATGACTTGTCAAACCTAAAGGAATTAATTATTATCTTCAATTTGGCAACATCGTTGGCTACTTGGTAACCAAGGCAAAGACTTCTTCCTATATTTGGGAGTTTTCTTGGAGTAGTTTCTATTGCCATAAAAAGGCCTTATACACACCAATTTTGTTTTTGCCAACTCTCCTACATGAATTGTGTCCACACAATCACACGTCTGTTTTAGTTATCTTATAATTTTATGGGTCTCACGTTATGCGAGACAATTCACACGTTCAGTCTTTAGTTTTGACAAGTAACATCTCGTTAATATTTATCCGATTTTGATATTTTTTTTAGTATTCAATTGTTTTCTTTCATCCTCCTACTTATCACCATGTTTTACATCATTTGTATAGAACAATAAGATTTGTAAATTTTGTGTGTGCAGCAAATCAAAACATTGCAAACTAAAGGGATGCCCCAAGCGGAGGCAGCACTAAGATGGACGGTGTAGATTCACCAGTTTTCTTTCGATGATGACGATGATTAAGGAGTGAACAGAAGGGATTAATACGGTGCGGATCAAATTGACATAATATACCCACAAGTGAGGGGATCCATCAGAGATTCCTCAAGGGCTTGTCTGTAATTTCAATGAGTTTAGGGTTCTTACTTAAAGTCAATAGTCCTTTATACCTAATGTTCTTCTCTCTTTTTTTTTTTCCTTTTTTTTTTTTTTTTCTAATTTTCTGCTAATCATACAACGGATCTTGTACTGGTTCGAAACTTCGAATGGTATTGTCCAGAATTAAGGGCTGAGATTTCAGGATTATATTCGTTCTTTTTTTATTTTATTTTTATTTTTATATGAAATATTCTTTGATATCATTGTTGGAAGAATATGTGCATGCCTACTTTTCTATCGCAAGAATTATTGTTAGCTTAATTCTTCAAGTAGAAGGATTCGAAATATTTCGTGGTGGCCAAGATTCCTCCATCTAATAGTCATGGTTCTTCTTGTTGACATGTAGTAGCAGCTGAGATTTTGGATTTGTTCACATTCCACGGGTCGTGGAGTATATTGGTAACAGCAAAATTAGGTTATATTGATACATGAAATCAGGTCATTTTGTATGAACTTATATTTGATTATAAATCACACAAACGCACAAAAACACCATGATGTATCGTGTTTCATTTTGCCTTGGGCTTACTTCCACTATTCCATGTTGGTGTAGTTTTCGCTTCTACCATGTAAATGTAAGTTACATTATACAAGGAGGCTTGTTGTAAAGTGCCTAGGGTTTAGAAAGAGAGTTCCTCCCTATGAGGGTGGGGGATCGTTTTTATAGGATTAAGGTTTCCTTGTCCTTTTACATAGTCAATGAACTAAATAGACAGGTTCAAAGAGTGATGCCTAACCTATGGTACAACAAGTTCTTTATTTGTTATTTTCGACTCAATCTTTTTATGCAATTAGTCACTTTAAAGTCTAATTCAATTACGAATCCACGCTGTTAGGTTATATTAATGTCTTCACTTCTTGTTAGATGAATATACTTACTTTAATATTGGAGTTTTTTTTAACAATACTGGAGGGTATCGGTGGATGATGAACAATGTGTTTTCTTGCCAAAGAAAAAAAAATGTGTTCATCAAAGGTCAAGGTTCCCCCTCCCCAAAGTGTTCTCCATAGATTTTATCTTCTCCAACAGATTTTAATCCTCTTTTTAAGTTTTACATAAAACGAATGTCAAGAAGAACTTCATTGATCCACAAAAACTCATCGTATCGATTTTTAGTCGAACTTCTAAGACTCAATATTTATAATATTTTCCTAATTACATACAAAAAGAATCTCTCAAAAACTCAACAGTCGTATTTTTCACAAAAATATAGCTCGCGATTCTGAATCAATTTTACGAACTTCTGCAAATATCGTCATAGAGAGTCTACTTTCATTGAATTTCCGTTACACTAAAAAAAATTAGGAAAAAAAAAATCATATGGAGTTGTGGATAGAGTGAGCAAAATGATTCAAGACTACAATTTGAAGCCCAATTCCGTGGTTCATAGCCTTTTAGACTAAACCCTACTTGGTAAGGCTTCAGCAGAAGGTTTACTCTACACGAAGCCACGAAGAGTCCAACATTGACTGAATTAGGCTTAAGGCCTCATGCTATATTAGAAAACTAAAAGGAAATATGGAACTATCTAACTCTCTGTGGACGAGGAACTCTTAAAGTTTTACGAAATTTGAGCCCAATTTTTCCGTCACGCACCACAAAATTTAGATGGTGGGTCTTGAAAATGATTAAATGCAATACGTTTGAGATAAATTTTCAAAATCCTTTGTTCAGTATCTTTATAACGCATTTGTAGTGTTTTAGTAGCAACTTTATAGTGCTTCGGTAATTAATTGGCAGTGTCCTAATTCAATTTTCCACCAGTCACCACCACCTCTCTCCACGGCCACCGCCTAATGCAATTTTCTTCCATTTAAGTTGATGTGTATACTTGTGAGGAGAACCAACTTTATCTTTGGAAAGTCATAATTGCGTTATGATGTTGAGGAGCATTTGTTGGTTTTGGCACATGTAACCTTAATCTTGATTTATTCATATGAACCAGATTTGTTAGAAAATAGATATGTGAACCAAATTCAAGAGAAACTAATAATGTTTAGAAAGATGATCAATGTTGAAACTTCTGGAACTTCTACATTGAGACCACCCGACATTGAAATCCTAAATCCACCACTGCTTATGAGATGTATTTTCTAATCTCTGGTGGGTGGTAACACATTCTACCCAAGCTTAGTTTTATGTTTGTTGACAAACAAGATCAGAATCTACAGTATAATCATTTTAATTAGGTGGCAAATTCGATCTTGGGTGCAAAAAAAAAAAAAAAAAAGAGTACATGGCCCTGTTTAACTTGGCTAAACTTATTGGTATTATCATATTAGAGGGAATGATTTGGTTGGAAATATTTATGTATATTTTTACGCAGACTCCGCCATAAACACTTTAATTCATTAAAACGTATGGTATAACAACAAAATCAAACCTCACCCACGCCAGCTGTTCATAATTGCAGCAAGAAATGTACTTTACTTGCTTTCCAAGGCTAAATTAATTTATGCAGTAGTTATATTATATATGCTTTGACAATTATTAACCTAGAACAAAAAAGAATGATAATTCGTCGATTAATGCTATTTATTTACCAAAACGTGTGCTTTTTTAGCACGTTACTTGCAAAGAAAATATAATTTGATGGGAAAATAATGAGCAAGGAATGCACACCAAATGTTTTGCACCATGTGCGTTGATGAAATAATTATTTGCAAGTTTGAAATTTAATTGGAACAAATTTGAGATGAGACCCAAAAATCATCCAAGCATGTTAGGCCACATCATTGCTAGAATATATTTGGTGGCTTTATTGATTAATTAATTCCATGAGAGAAACTTTCTTAACGATGTCACGTGGTCGGGCATATACAGGAAAAATTCTTAAAAATTATCATGTTGTCATGAGAAGGTCAGAAGAAATTCTTAAATGCAACAAATCACGTGATGAAATTCAAAGACAATAAAAATTCAAAACTGGTGCATGTAAATTTTTTTCATCGACTATGAGATGAAGTGTGGCTAAGGGCATAAGACAAAAGCTCAAAAGTAACGTCTATTCTATTTAACCCATTAAATCATATCGCCAACCCTTATGAATCTCATTAATATTAGGTTAGGTAGGCTTGATTGGCAAATGATCATTGTTGTTTTTAAGTGAAACGATAGCGGTAATTCATTTATACGACAAAACACGATTACAGCAAGCGTGCCAACCGAGTACATCTTCTTTAGTGACCAAAACTTTGATCTGGAGAGAATAAGCACAACTAGGATGAGATGTAAACCATTGTTAGCTCATCTCCATAGCAAAAAATAGGAATAGGACACACTCGTCCAAACCATCTAGGGCATCATAGGATCTAAATAGATAAGAGTCTAGGGATAGGAAGAAAACACTCTTCATTAGCTAAACCAAATTTAAAAGTACTCTCAATTTCTGGATCATTCTTTCCATAAATGAGTAAGGGTAAATAGTCTAGGCATGAAACAACCTTCCATGTATAGGTTACCCTTATTAATGATCATACACAACCATAACTTAAAATATGCATGAACTTATTTCATACTAATCATGAACTTAAATGAAAACATTGAACAATCACTCAGTACGATCTGGTGGTATTCTTTTTCACTTGTAAATGAGAGATCTTAGGTTTGAATCTCATAGATGGCGAATCCGATACTAAATTAGGTTGCCCATTATGTGGCTTAGCCGAACTCCCTCATTCCTTTAGTGTAAAATATATCATTGTACTTAAAAAAAATGAAAACATTGAACAAAGTTTTAATTAAATATGATGAATGTACCATCTAATAATAGAAGAGTCTGCCACTTAGTACTATAGTCTAGTGGTATTCCTCTTCACTTGTACGTGAGAAATCTTAGGTTCGATTCTTGCCAAATGAGAATTTGAACCACAATATTATTGCTAATCTATTGTGAGGCTAAACTCACCTCCTCTCCCTTAACGTGATAATATCGTTTGTTCAAAATTTTTTTTTTAAAAGACTCCAAATTCGGTGTCACTGGCACATGACTTTGGCCATGGAGGCCATTTGGCCACAAATCAGTCAAGAAAATTTCGTCGTCGTCACGGACCAAGAAGACCAAATCAAACCCATCGATCTATCTTTAGGAGAAAAAATTTTAGTGTTTCAAAAACTTAGTTTGTTACACCATGTATCATAATACAATTGGTTGAATTTTTTTTTAAATTTCCTATCAATTGAATTATGAATTTGGTGTACCAGACTATGTGTCATGCACAATGAAAATATCTCATCCTCAAGCAAATGATGATACTTTATATGAAAAAAGGTCGTCTTATCTCACAGGTTGAACTTTGGAGTACAAAAGGTTTATATCTTCCCAAGTAAAGGTTTTCATATCCACATCACACAACTTGCACACTCCCTCAATTTCCTTCTATCATGCTAAGGAATTTCCAAATATATCTTGATCTAGAAGTATCAACTTGGTGGGTTGAGTCCACATCAAAATAACTCACTGGTGATTTAGATAAATCAAATTTGTTAATCTTTCTATTTTATAATTAATGATCACTGGGGTCACTCTCATATATTCTTGCTTAGGCAAACACCAAAATTTCAAATTGATTAATCCCCTTCAAATTGTGAACAGTATATTGGTATTGTTATCTACTTGGATGTTATTAAGAGTGTTTAATTTGACTCACATGAATGCATTATATATGTTTATCGTGAATCTGATACCTAATCGTGGTAGGTCTTATTATGTTGTCGTCAAAGGCAAATCAATCCAATAGCAAGGGTGGGCAAGAGACTTCGAAAAGTCTCTGAACCGGATCAAATTTTGACCATCAAGCAACTGGATAAGATAGGATGGTGCGGGGTTGCATATTCCCTTTTTTACACAAAACCATTTTGGCTTTTCTCCTTCAGCATTCACCATTTTCACTCAAATTTCTCTATTCCAACATCCTTCCTCGATCTGTTTGGTGCCACAAGCGTTAAGTCCTACCCACCAATACGGAATACCTTAAGCAAAAACACCACATCAAGCTTTTATAGATCGCCAATCTAAAAATAAAAATAAAAATCTTAGATCCGTCACTAATTACCGCATCTCTTTTTTTTCTTTTTCTTTTTTTGTATGTCACACATGGTTATGTAAAAGCAGTTTGTAATGTCCTAACATTGGAATGAAGGGAAAACATATACACACCAATAGATTAAGTTAAAATTGTCAACAAATATAATAATACAAGCAAAATGATTCAACAACCCGGCAAATTGTATGTTTTATTTTCTTAAGCTTCAAACAGCTTCTCATGAGCTCTCTTGCCAGAGATATTTTTTTAGTGTGCTCGAAATACGGAGTGATACATCACATGTCATTATACAAGTGGAAGAACACTTACAAATAAAAAGTCTATCACTAATATAATGATACATAGTGGATCACTCTGTGTTCTAGATACATTGAAAAACTCTCTTCCATACACGTGTGAACACATAAGCTTCACACATGTCAAGTAGCATTGATTTCCTTTTTTCATACGAAAAACAAACCTTAATTAGTTTCCCACGTAATTATTTGTTTAAAATTGGACAGCCAACTACAACGTCTAGCCGCCGACCTTTCCATTTTCCGCCCATAAAATTCCATAATTAATATATAAAATTTCACACAAGAGAAGAAGAAGAAAAAGGGTTCGTATTTAGGTATGAACAAAAGCATTTTTGCTCATCATTATAGTTATGACATCTGTCATGTGTATTTTCATTTAATTCTAATTAAGTTTTATATTAATATTACTTCTTTAATTTAAAAAAAAATTAAATAAAAAAACGCGTGATAGATTATTAAGTACATATTAAAAAAAATAAAATTTACATGGTGAACAAAAATGCAACAATGCATGAACAGTAGAGGACGAAAGGTCGCGATTGCCCCAATCAAACCTCGTCTAGTAATTCCCACTGTCGCTTATTCCAATTTATACAGAACCGCGTATTATGCAATTTTCGACTATTTAAAAATCCAACCAAAAAAAAATTAAAAAGACAAATCTCGTTCTCCTCATCACTATTTTTTTTTTTAAAAGAGGGACAACTGGTGGCAGGCCACCGTTATCCATATTTTTCGGAAGTCGAAAAGACTCACAGAGACGTTTTAGCTTTCTTCTAACCATAAATCTGGATTCTACACAAACAACAGGTTTCGAACCTGAAACCTCCAAACTTTAGTTTTAAAGAAGTCTCGTAATTTATCATTTAGCACTGGACAACCAGCTCATGAATACCCCTGATCACTAATTGACTCAGAATACATAGTCAACGACTGCCTCTGTATAAGGGTTAGTGATCATACGTTGTCAGGAGAACAATTTTGTAAAATAAAATAAAAAAAATACTATTATTATTTATTAGGAAATTTACTAACTTCCATTCTTTCAACTTGTCCCTTTGATCTTCAGCTTTCTTCCTTGATAAACTAAAAACGGTTTTACATAAAATATTTCATGTTAAACTAGTTAACAATTGAACTCAAATACATTCACTATATCAATTACGTCTAAATTTAGAGAAATTTTTCAGTGTTCAAAAAACAGGGTGGTATGTCAAATATCATTGTATAAATGGACGAAAGTATTATTTTTCAAGTGTAACTTCACTTGTATAATGACATGTGGTGTACCACTGCATATTACAAACACTTTTAAAAACCTCTCTTAAATTTGCATTAAACTAAGGACTTAAATTAGATGAAAAAAAGCTAATTTGCACTTGTTGAAACTATTTTTAACCCTACCAAAGCGTAGGGATTGCTCAAGTTTTTTCATTAATATAATTAGAATTGTTATTATTAAACATAATAATATACAATAGAAGCCAATTTTCCACAACCACTCATCACTAGGTTATATATAAACTCTCAAATCCATTGTGGAAGGATCAAGCCCCACACTTTGTTTCGTTTCCACCCAAACCCTCCTTCCCTATTTCCCTCCCTTTATCTTTGCCTTGCCCTCTCCTTTTTCTCTTTCCCTTAAAATATAGAAAAGCTGGATATCATCACAAAAAGCTCAGAGAATTGAAGAAGCTACCAGAGCGCTCTACCAGATTGATAATAATGCAGGCTGCTGCTACAGGTCCGCTAGTCTCGCTCTCTCCCAGCTTCAGCACCTACTCTTCCTCCGACAGACTCGCCCAGATCGCCGCCCGAGTCGTCGACGAGTTCACCCACCAAGATCGCCAACTCACCGAGGAGCCGTACTGGGAAAGTATATACGATCACCTGGAAGAAGAAAAGCTCCAACACCGCCGACAGCCCAAAAACGATGACGTACAGAAGGACAAGGAGGAGGAGGAAGAGGAGGAGTTTGAGTTTGCTTTTGTCAGCAGCGGAGGAGAGTCGCACACGTCGCCCATCTCCGCCGACGAGATTTTCTCCAACGGTCAAATCAAACCTACCGTCTACCCTCTCTTCAACCAAGACTTATTATTAGCTCACAACGACGTCGTATCCTCTACAAATGCAAACGACGATGCGGATGACGCCGTTAAGAAGCCGAAACCGCGCCGTTTGCCGCTCAGAATGCTCATGATCGAAGAGGAGCGCGAAACAGCGTCGTGCTCGTCCTCCGAGGCCGACGACCTCGAGAACCTGCCACCTGGCACGTACTGCGTGTGGGCCCCTCCGAAATCATGTCCTGGACAGCGCCGCTGCAATAAGAGCAGCTCCGCCGGCTCGTCGTCGAAGCGGTGGAAGTTTCGGAACCTTCTTCACCGAAGCAGCAGCGACGACTTCGTCTTTTTGGCTCCCTCGTCGACCAAGAGAGCTAACAACAAGAAGGGAGATGACGTCACGCGGAAAAGAGTCGACAACAGCTGCGGCGTCGTGTCGGAGAATGGAGAGCGTTATGTCGTGAGGAGCAAGGCCGAGGAGGCAGGGGATAAACGACGGTCGTTCCTGCCATACAAGCAGGACTTTGTGGGGTTTTTCTCTAATGTGAATGGGATTAGCAGGAATTTGCATCCATTTTGAGCGATCAAGTAATTGAAAATTTATCAATTTATCCTAAGTTTTGAATTTTTTTGTTTTAGTATTTTCTCATTTTCTATTAGTAATTTTTATTAGTTTTTTCGGAAGAAATTTACGATTAGTTAATACTTTGAGTTAACTAATTTGATTTCTTCGTTTTGTGTAATTAATGAAATATATTATGTATTATGGTTTAATATTATATTCTGGTGCTGATATTTCTATTTGTATTTTTATTTACCCATGGAAATAAATGTTTTTTATTTGTGACAATTTTTTGTTGTTGGAACTCACGCGCCACGCGGTATTGCTAAAAAGTCAATTTGGATGACAATTAGGGTTTTGTCCTTTTTCAGAATCTTTTCCATTAAAAATTAAAGTTATCATTTGAGTAGTTGTTAAATGATATTTAGTTGAGTTTAGGTACCGAAAATATAATTAAATACTTTATTAATACAACTTCCTCAGGTATGAATCGGCTCCTGCGTAAAGTGAAAATCAAACAATACGTAATTAAAGGGTGTCTTGCAAGTAAACGGGAAGATGGAGAGAATGAAATTCGGCTACTGATAATCTCAAAAACGAGATTGATTATATACTTCTAAAAGTTGAAAAGTCAATCTTAAAAACTTGAATTATAAAATGAAGCCTTAATTTAATTGCAAATTAGATCCACTAGCTTGAATTGTAAGGAATGTTTTTGCTCACTACTTTATTTATCATCGTTAAATGAGTTTAAATTTCAAGATTTGTGTAGTGAATAGATACAAACATCAAAATTTAAACTCATCAAATGATAATAAATAGGATATTGAGTGATGAAAACTAAAAATTTCGAGATTTGTTCATGTCACAACTAAAAATTTCTCCACAACTTGAGCTCGGAGAGCAAACGTGCATCCTTATTGTGTTATACCAAATTACATAATCATACATGTCATGTGGCATTACAGCTTGATATTTCACTCCCATACTTTATATTTTCTTAATTTATATTATCTCATATTGACTTTATTTTCTTACTGTACATTACACATGGGTTTCAAGGAAGTACTTTTCTCAATTAGTTCGAGAAACATTCTATAACAATTTGCAAGAAATTTGTAATACACAAAAGACAAAAAAATAAAAATTAAGTACCTTGTCTTAAAAGTAGTAGATCTAGTTTATTGAATGTACGACTACAGTACAAATATTATGCGCAAAGTTAAGCACAACTGCTTATGTGCGTGTAATTGATTATTAGTCGTCATAGATTAGATTGTCCCACTATGATTCACACAAATTGACGACTCTTAGTCACAAGAAAATTTTTCATCGTGATCAGAACATGGGGGTACATTACGTGTTTTTATATAAGTGATGAGAAATTTTATTTTTTAAATTATTAACTTTTTAACACAAATATCTCACTATTTATATAGTGACACATAGTGTACCATTCCATGTACCGATCGCATTGAAAAATTTCTCCTTAGTCACCCAATCGCATTGTCCCTAACAAAACCCATAACTTTTAGCATATGTTATCTCCTCATTACTACGTATTCTCACAAGTCATAGTGAATGCAAGGACAGAGATCCACTCTAGATCTTACTGTTTGAAATCTAAGGATCAGGTAATTCGGATCACTCAGATTGAATCAGACTGCCGCCATTATCTCATTCCATCAACTTACCTCACACGAACCAACGACTCCAATTTTTTTTTCACACAAACCAAATACTCGAAGGTTCGGACGATAAGGTTTGGAGAGGATCCAAATTGTGAATGCAGAACTTTTTTCTCATAGAGCTCTCATAGAATTGGACGTGGCTGCTGGTGCTGGCTGATACATACAGCCAAACGGGTGACTCTTTTGTTAAAGTTTCTAAAATGGGACCCAAAAAAGCAACAAGGGAGGTGGAAAAAGCAAATTAAAGGTGAGATGACTGTGAATTCGACAAGGCAGCCATATTTCTGTGTCCCCATTTGGGTGCCATTTGATCTTGGTCCATCTTCTGCACCATTTGTGCCATTTTCCCAGAGCCAACGACCTTCTCTGAACATTGGGAAATGTGGAAAGCATATTCTTTGGTTTCTTTCTATCTTTGGTGTGAGAACTGAGAGAATGAATGGTTATGTCAACCATATTTTTCCAGATATGCTAACTGGGTACTTTGGATGAGTTCAGTAACTTCATTTTCGAACGAAAACTTAAATAGTTTCAACCTCCAACCATATCTTTGTCAGGATCTTTAACCTATCTCCTCTCATTTTCTGATATATCTCATTTTCGTTGAAGGAACCCTAAAACATGTTCTATTGCCAACTTGAGACCTCTCTTAACATCCGAAAGAGAAGTGTCACTAGGCAAATTACTAGTTAGTGCTTGTTTAATGTCCCTTTTAGTAAATGTTTCGATTTTTTATTGAATATCTGTAGAAGTTCTTTTTTGCATATTTCCATGTTTTTATTTATTTATAAGAAATCAGAGATTATAAAGAAAATCACTAAAAACTTTATGGAAAAAATAGCAATTGTAAAGTATAAAATTAAGAAGGATAACAATTTTGACGCTCATGTTTTAGATACGCCGAAAATTAATTTTTTTTTATTTATTTTATCTGCATTCACATAATGCAAAGTAAGGCTAAAAAAGAAATGTTAAATTCACTTAGCCTTAATCAAACTTTCTAGTGCCAAAAAAGAAACAAATTAAATTAAAAGGATAATTCAGGTGAACTTTATTTAGCTTCTTGTACATATCCCAATAAAGAAATAAAAAATATTTGACGATCAAATAATGAATGGAGTTTTAACGAAAAACCTACGATATTATTTCATTTTAACGAAAAATCATATTTTTACACTAAAAAGTCAATCATGGTACTGTTTACTTTACCCTTTATTTTGTTCTTATCATCAAAACTCAAAGTTTTCAAGCTTTTTTCATTGGTTTTTCTAATAATGAAAGAAGAAGGGAGTGAGAAGCTAGCAGAGGGATCAGGATCCTCTTCTAATCTAAGGATGAGGATTCTCATGATCAAGAGATGTGGACCGTTGGATAAAAATCCAACGGTTATAATTATTATAACTTTAAAAGAACTTCCTTGTTTATAGCCGTTGGATAAAAATCCAACGGTCCACATCCCTTGATCATGAGAATCCTTATCCTTAGATTAGATTAGGAAAGGATCCTGGTCCCCAGCAGAGAAGGGAAGGTGGGCATCTGGTTCTCGCTGTGGCCTCCGGCCTGTGGGGTACCAGACCAGATAATTGCTACTACTTTCACATCCTCTCCTCCCTTTACTTCTTTTAGAGCATACGATGCCTAAGGCTGCACAAAATCTCTGGAGGGTACCCCTTATTTTTTAGGAGAATTAATGAAAATTACTTAAAATTTTTGAGTTTTAACGAAAATGAGAAAATAAAAGGTAAAATAAATAGTATCAGGATTGACTTTTTAGTGTAAAAATATGATTTTTCGTTAAAATGAACAGCACCAGAAACTTTTCGTTAAAATCCTCTTGGATCATGCCCAATGAAATCCAGAGTCATGATCTTCCCTCCATCCCCCCTCTTTGATTTTATATTTACCAAATCAGTAAAAGCTTATTCTTTTCCAATCTCATCTTAAAAAGTTTATTAGGTACAATAATGACGGCTCTTTATCCGGCACAGTACCAGAGCAAACGCTTGACATTGACGGTATGAAGGATATGATATTAGTCAATGTAGTACGGTTTAGTTTAGGGCACAATAAAATCGAGACGTTACAATACAGTACGGTGTATCAAACGAAACTCTAAACCTACAGCTTTGTTAAAAAATAGGATTCGTCCACAGTGGTGTATATATTTGATGGTGTACAGTAATGGTGTGTGGTACCAGTCTATTTAACTCAAGAGTGGGTAGGGTTTCTTAAAGAATGAATAGCAGCTGGCCATGCCCATCTCCATAAGCACCCGATACACTCGCATACACTTATAGGAACAATGACATATACACAACTTTTTATCAAGGAGAATAACTTACATGAAACGGATTCATCATCACGTAGTGTCTTGTATCCCATAATACATTGTCACTTGTAAGTTTTTGTCTGTATGGAAATATATATATTATTGGATTGGAATGTCACGTGTCGTTGAACCCGTTCCATATGAGTTACTCTCCTATCAAATGTCATATACAGTGGATTTATAAAACTAATAACAAGAGAGCTTTCACAGGAAAGAAAAAATTAAGTGGGAGAATAGTAGGAGACTTGGATGCTTGCAAAGGATGGAGATTGTAGTTTTGGAAGATAGTGCCATTACTGTTAATTGACTACAATCTTAAGCTAGCGCACTTATTACTCTCCTAAAAATCATTAGCATTTTGATTTTATTTTCTCTCTTGCCGGGGAATATTTTACTACTGGAGATATATATGTGGAAAAATGAAACTAAGGGAATCAAACTGATGACCTAGCATAATCATAAAATAGAAATGGAACTTCGTGATCTATTCTGAAACAGCCTTCTAAATTCACTGGTGTAATGTACTTTGATCTATGTACCTTAACCAAAATATCCCTAGGAACTGTATATAACGGACGGATATTATACCGCGGTATGTATACGTATTTATACTCCATAATTATGAGTAAATACAAATCAATGAATATCATCGAGTCCTGGTGTATATATATGTGTTGTGGCTGCTGTATGTTTGTATGCATGCCTGCATGTATATCTGTAGTGGAATCTCATCAAATATATATATATATATATATATATATATATCCACCTCACGAGAAATTTCTAGAAAAGTCGAAAAATAATCACTTGCATTGCATGCATAGAGAGAGACCCCCTTCCTTCATCTCATCATACAGACTAGACACTGGCTTGGCTCGAGTAATGGGGTTGGTTGGGGTTTGATGGAGACAATTGGACAAAGCTTTCTTTGGCAAAACGCCCGTGTTTTGTGGGCATTGTTTACACAGTGTTTACAGTTATGCATTTATATCTTTAATATTTTAGGGTTCACTCGTTCTCCTCTTTCTGCTAAATACTACATCTTTATTATATATATAGGGATAGGATCCAGGGACAAATACTTTTATAAACATTATTACACTTCTTTGTAGCCTTCTTGATCCTATCCTATATACATATATGTTAGGATCAAGGAACATAAGCATTTGACACATATTTTGACATTCATTTTGGAAGGCTCACTTCGTAATGT